TATCGGATCGCAGGTCAACCATCCCCCCAAAGAGTCCATCTCCAATATTTTTCAAGGCGAGAATAAGAGCCTGAAGGACTACATCGCTCGGTTCAATGACCGAGTCCAAAATATGGAGCGGTGCCATCCCGACGCCCTGTTGATCACTGCTCAGGGTGATCTGAGACCGAAAACGCAGTTTAGGTGGTCCTTGTGTCAGAATAAGCCAACCACCCACCAGGAGTTCCTCACTCGCGCTCAGGATTACATAATGGCGGAGGAATCCTCGTCCATCCCGATGTTTGATACCGCGCCGGCGCCAGCAAAAGCGAAGGCGAAGGAAGAAAAATCGGAAAGCCAAGCAAATCGTTCACCGAAATCCGGGCTCAGCGAAGACAAAGAGCTGAGGAACTGAAGGAAAGCTACCAGAGCGTCTTCTCGGTGGGGGCCGCTGCAGTTTATGAGGAAATCAAGGCGAAGGGGTTATTGCCGGATCCCAAGCCGATGTTCACCGACAAGGACAAGGTGGATAAGACCCGCACTGCACCTACCACAAGGCGCACGGGCATAATACCGACCAATGCCGAAATCTCATCTCAGCACTTCTCAAACTAATCGACGATCCCCAACTCCGGAGGTTCACCCACTCTGGACAAAAGAGGATGAAGGGAGGCCGCTTTGAGGAAGGCCCCGACAGTGAGAAGGATGCCGACGTGAATCCTCGAAGGAAGAAGCCACAGCAGGGTGGCCCCCATTAAATCATGACTTTCTGCACCAAGACGAGGCCGACACCTCTAGGGGCAGAAAGAGATACCGATCCCCACGCATCGGTGCCGACCCGGCCGACTACCCAACCCGCCCGTCAACACGAGCCGGGGCGAGTCCCTCCTCTCCAGGAGGCAAACCAAGGCCTACGCCCGGCAGGCCTATCATGCCGGGCAGAGGGTGATGCACGCCGACCACAGTCCGACGCCGGAGCTGACTCCAAACACCATCTCCTTCACCGATGAAGATGCCTTCCTGTTTGATCACCCCCATTCCGACGCCCTGGTGATCATGGCGCCGATCATGGCGATAAAGATCCATCGCATCATGGTCGATACCGGGGCCTACGCAAGCATCCTTTACTACGATACTTTCAAGAAGATGGGGATCGACAGAAAGGAGGTGCAGCCCTGCCGTGAACGGATCCAGGGTTTCAATGGGCAAACCATCGCCCCTGTCGGCCAAGTCACGCTACCGATCCGGTTCGGGGAAAAGGGGCAGCCCACGAAGACAATCCTGAAAACCTTCAAAATCGTGGACTGCCCAAGTGAGTATAACGCCATTCTGGGGAGGACGGTCCTCTACGAGTTAAAGGCCGCCGTCTCTATATTTCATTACTCCCTCAAGTTCCCAACTTCCGATGGAGAAGGAACACACCATGGGGATCAGAGGGAGGCGAGGGAATGCATTCTAACCATCCCGCGCACGGAGATAAATACGGCAGACCTTCTGGTCGACGCCGAGGCGACTGACATCGGGTCGGCACACGATGGTCTTGGGGGCAACCGCACGCTGGGAAACCAGACAGGTTCGAACCCATTGACCTCACCAAGCGCCGACCCAGTCAGCATCGAACTCAAGACGGAGGCAGGCAACCCAACCCCAGATGTCGGGCTGGTTGGCATCAACCAGGGAAGCGACCGTATGCTGGAAAACCAGACAGGCCCGCTCCCCCCGGCTGACGAAAGTGCCGACCAGACTGAGGGAGGCTCTAAGGTTGACCTCGACTTGGACAGGGGGAGAAGGGCCGGCAAGGGGCCGGTCACAGAGGAAGACGAGCTCGATCCCCGAACCCAATACGAAGAGAAACGTGGGACGAAGAGGGCCGAGCCTATGGATGAGGTTGAAGTCATCTTTATTGATAAAGAGACTTGTCAGAAGCAACTCCGGATTGGGAGCAGATTGTTGGGGCCTCTGAAGGCCGAGCTGACCAAGTTCCTCCGAGAAAAGGCAGACGTCTTTGCGTGGACCCATGAAGACATGGTCGGCATCGACCCTCGGGTCGCCTGTCACCGGCTGCAGGTCGACCCCACGGTCAAGCCGGTCGTGCAAAAGCGAAGGAAGCTCGGCCCGGATCGACAGCAAGCCTTGGAAGAAGAAGTGATCAAGCTCAAAGATAACGAATACATTCACGAGGTCCGGTACCCGACCTGGGTAGCCAATCCAGTACTCGTGAAGAAAAGCAGCGGAGCATGGCGCTTGTGCATCGATTTCTCTGACTTGCATAAAGCTTGCCCCAAAGACAACTACCCCCTGCCCCACATCGACTACATGGTCGACGCTACCTCGGGACACGAGCTGATGAGCTTCATGGACGCATACTCCAGCTACAATCAAATTCCCATGCACCCAGACGATGAGGAACACACCTCCTTCTACTCGGCACGTGGCCTCTACTGTTACACCATGATGCCGTTCGAACTAAAGCACGCCGGGGCACCTACTAGTGTCTAGTTAACAAAATGTTTGCTAGTTTGATAGGTGTAAGCATGAAAGTGTATGTAGACGATATGCTAGTTAAGTCCGTGTACGCGTCCGACCATGTAAACGATCTTAATAAGAATAACATAAGTTTAAAATCAAAGCGAACCGTATTCGATTTACAACATAATAAGAATAACATAATTTTATATATGTTATTCTTATTCGTATTCGATTTACAATAAAATTAATGCATGATTCTTATTCAATTCGCTTAAGACAAGGGTATATAAACGATTCGTTTGGAAATTCACTTTTTAAATTTTTTTATAAACATAAAAATATTATTACATTTTTTACATATGAATATATTACATACAAAAATATTATTAATTGAATAAATTATACATATGATATAGTAAATATGGTAGTATTATTATTATTATTGTAACTAAAAGTAGTCGATATGCCTCGATTTATTTTTTTCGCCGGTTCGCTTTGATTTTCGATTTTCGTTTTTTCGCCAGTTTGGTATTATATATATATATATATATATATATATAATAAGCATTTACTATAATTAGAGGCCATAAAAATTCGAAAATAATTAATTCATACTACATCTCGTAAGATTTTAAGCATTTTAAATAGAACTTCGAGCATTGACCGAAGCATCAAATGCATGCATTAATTTCTGTTATATTTGTTAAATTGATGAAGACCGATATTCAAATATAATATAGTATAATATTTTTGTTTTTAAAGTATTCATATAACCTTTTATGTCATTCTAATTATAGAATAGAATAAGACTAAGATCAACATCTATATATATATATAATTGCTGGAAAGCTTCAATAAATTTTATTCAGCCAGCAATTAATAATAATATAGGTTCACTTAATAAAAATATGTAACTTTCAGTTACACAATTTATTTTGACAGATCTCATTTATGTAACGTCTTTTTTATGTCCTGAAATACAAAATTATTTTTTTTTATTTTTTAATACTATATTTTTTTTGGTATTATATAAATACATTTCACAACTAATTAAAAATAACTATAAATATCTCTATTTTCTATTGCAGTCATACAGTAATAAAAAATATTTTTTCGGATATTACAAAGATGCATCAAATATTTTGAAAAATCAAATCCCGGAGTCACGAGTCGAAAAAATTTAACGATAATGATTTGTTGTGATGGGGATTCTGACGATAGGAAAACCATGAATGTTATATATAAAGGAGCGTTTAATAATATTTAGAGTCACCTTTTTTAATGATTTTTTCTCATTTCCAAAGTTATGATTTTTATTTTATTTTATATTTTTAATTACTTTCTCTTATGTTATATCGCTTTTCGTGCAAATGCACGGGTAAAACTAGTATATAATAAAAATACACTTTTCAATTAGTTAAAAATCAAGTATTATTAAGCATGAAAATTAATTGAAGTTTAATTATTACTATAAATGTTAATAAGTAATTTAAAAATACTCAAATTATATGATTAAAGTTGACATATATAAGATCTATGAACAAGACACATCTAATATAATGATAATTTGTTTCTTAATTCAGCCCGGTATGATGTGGGACTGATTGGACGAATTTGGTTCTCGGTACGTATGTTTGTTAAATCTCAAGAATCATACCAAATCATTTATATTTCGTTTCAAATCAAAGAGAGTTAAATGGTTAACGAATATTTTTCGGCTCTTAGTCGAGCTAACAAAGTTTGAATCTCAACTGAAGAGAAATTAAGATCAGTGTTCTAAATACCGGCCGTTACGATATTTAAAACATGGCTTAAGATAATCTGAAGCGATTGGATTAGACAAATTACGATATTTAAAACATGGCTTAAATTGTGGAGATCGAATATGTTGCACGTTTGATGTCTATGACTGTTCTGAGATAAGATTTCTATTTTTTCAAGGTTTACAGAACTAATATATTTTTAAATTATATAAAATATTTAATTAACAAATTATTATATAAAATATTATGTCATATGCCTTATTAAACTTATTTTTTATTTTTTCTTGCAATATTATTAAACTTATTAATAGCCTAAAATTTTTAAAGTGCCATTAAGAATCCAAATTATACCAATTAAGTTTTTATGTGTATGAAAATCCTTCTCATTCTCATCACTCAGCAAAAAATGTCGGGCAATGTCTCTACCACATACCAATTGTCTTTCTCCAATTTCAACCTAACTTGCAGACCAAAGCCACTGGTTCGATCTCATCTCCTAATTGCAACCTCTGAATCAATTTCACGAGGGAATAGGAATTCAATTTAGAATTCGATCTCATTTCCCAATCTGATTTCCCAATTGGTGCTTCAAATCGTCGGCGAGGACAAGGATGTAGGCGTAGATCGTGTGCTATCCGGAGGTCGACGAGTCTTGCATCTACGCCCCACTACCCAAAGCTAGTCCATTTTTATTCGCAACACAAAATCTCAAGCAGCAAGAAACTATTTTTATGAAAGCATTGATTGTGCATCTATTCCTTTTTCAAGGGGCGGGTTGAGTTATTTGATATGGATCCAGTTCCGTGGTTTGATAATTTCCTATGGAACCATGATTTACCTATGATCATGGGCTGTGAATGGAGCAAGGTTTTTGCAGCAGTTCTTTGGCGCTTATGGAAGCGACGGTGCGAGGTTGTTTTTGAAGTCGGTGGAGGGTGAGGTTGGGGGTGGTGTGAGCGGACGGCCGAGTCTGCAGCGTGGCGGAGCAGGTGGTTTGGCCGAGGGACAGCCCACTTCTCGATGGAGGTCCGGTCATCGGTCACGGTGGTGCAGAGGCTCACCAGAGACCTCATCACGCCCATGGTGATCGGGCACCACAGGTACCTGTTGTATACAATAGAAATTAAAAAATTTAAAAGAAAATTATAATTTTTATCTACCAAAACAAATAGCGGGACAAAATTTTTTGGCGCTCAAAATTTCAGCTTAATTAGGAATTTATTTATCTAATCAGGGTATAGAAACAAAGGGTTTAATGATTTCGTGCCTCCGTCAATCTCTCCCTTTTTTATTCTGCTCAAATATATATACCCAAATAGGTTTTACTTAGCAATACATCAAAAAAAATAGTTGCAAAACACACGCCTCCCTACAATCTTTTCCTGGTGAAGTTTCTTCATCGTTTATGTATAAAATTTTTGTTTTTACAGATTTTTATATTGGATCACCTTTATTCTGATTCTATCTTTGTATAATCAAAATATGTGACTCTATCTTTGCATAATTATAATAGCTGAAGGTGTAAACTTTTGTGTTTCATATTCTGTTTCATATTCTTTTTCATATTTTGATTCTGTGTTTGTATAATTATAACAGTTGAAGGTGTAAACTTTTGTGTTTCATATTCTATTTCATATTCTGATTCTATCTTCGGCTCCCCCTTATTCTGATTCATTTCCTGATTCTATCTTTTCCTGGTGATGAAGTCTATATTTATCTGTGATGTATAAAATTTTTATTTTTACAAATTTTTTTTTCATCTTTTATACACATAAAAGGCAACTGAAGGTGTAATGTTTTGTTTATTATTAAATCTTACATGTGTTATTTTCTCAATATCTTTCATATTCTGTTCTCTATGGAATTCTAAGAACTATATATATATATTGAGTCATAACATGTATAATCGCCATTGGAATGCGTAAGTTAACTATATGTGTTCTTTTTTCAATAAATAGGCATTTTCTTTTTATGTATTTCTTAGTTCTTCAAAATTGGTTTTGCAGTGATAAAATTTTTGTTGTCATATGTAGATTTCTAAGAATGGCGCCAGGAATCCGTAAAACTCAAATTATTTCAAAAGCTGCTCTAGAAAGCATGCTTAACCAAGCTACCAAGGATAGCTCAACTACTGCGTCAGCTCGTATTGGAGTCAGAGAACATTTTAACCAATCAAATGTGTCATCTGCTGGAGTGACTGGAGCATGTGGAACTACTGAAGTTAATCATGGTTCTTCCGGAGAAGGTGATAATACTACAACAAATCACACTAATGAGAGTGGCATTCCACAAACCCTTGAAACTCCCAACCCAAATCAGAATTTGAATGCAGCTGAAGGCTCAACTGGTAACCTTCAGGATACATCAGTCACAGGTACAGGTACAATATGTTCTTTACTTAGGATAGCTGTTGGAATAGTTGGAGGTACAATATGTTTTTTACTTAGGATAACTATTGGAATAGTTGTTGTTTTCGGTGAATAGTTGTTGTTTATGTTATTTTCGTTATGTTGGACTTTGTTGCTTTTGCTCCAGTGAATAATTAGTTGTTGTTGCTCATGGTTACTTACTGTTGGAGTAGTTGTTTCTGCTATTTTCTTTATGTTGGAGTTTGTTGTTGTTTACTTACTAAGACATGCTTCCTTTTTCCCATTTTTTGCTCATTCTATTTTACTTATCAAAACATTGTCGTTTTTGCTTGGGAACATGGATGCATGTACGGACGTGAGATATATCTCATCGTCTTGTTCCTTTTCTGAGTGTAAGCTCCATATATTTTCTCTGAAATAAGAAATGGTGTCCTCTTAAATTATCTCCCGTCGATTCAAATATTGATTTCAACAATATCAACAGAATTGCTATCAAATCGCTATCGTCATGTTTGGAACCATGAATGTTCTTAATTCTTATTGCTGTGCATTATGCCTTTTTATTTTTGTGCATATTGTGCATGCTGACTTGTGATTATTTTGTTGTGCATGCTAGTAGCTGGTGCATGTTGGAGTTGTGCTTGTACATGCTGTTAATGAACAGAGAATATGTTTAATTTCATGCTTTCTCGAAAATATTTGTGTAGGCATATTAGAAAAAAAAAACCATGAATTTATTTTGGATTGTCGCATTTTGTCCACTTATTTGTCTGTCAATGTTGCACAATTGTATTTTGATTTATAGATGAGTTAGAATCTTAAAAACTTTGAATGAAATAGTTGCAACGAATTAGTATATGTGTCCTCTATTAATGAAATATAATGTTCTTTGTTACCAGACAAAGCTTCGATCCCTAAGAGAAGACGTGGTCAAACAATGGGCAAGGGAATTATGAAAGCATTTCATGCCTCTGGAAAGAAATTGAAGATAGATGTGGATCCACTGGTAGGACGGCCCAAAAGTCGAGAGCAATCTGCAAAGCTCTCAAGTCAAATTGGTGTAGTAGCTCGAGATGTCCTTCCAGTGCCAAGAAAATGGAAAGAAATGGCTGAAGAAAATTTGTTGGAACCAGGCATTGATCATATAAAGGTAGCTATAAAATAAGAATAAAAATGACATGTTTTCTTTTTCTTGTATATATAAAAATTTGTTAAATGTGATGTTCAGATTCATATGGATGTTAACTTGGATGTACCGGGTGTGAGGCACTGCTTGGTTGATAGATTGAAATCTACCTCTCGACAAATTCGTTACAGGTTACATAAGCATTACAAGAAGTATGCAACCCCAGAAGAGGCTAAGAATAATAAGCCAACATTTTGTGCTAGTAAAGAAAATTGGGACGAACTCTTTGATTATTTTGCATCAGCTAAGTTCAAGGTAACGTCTCTTGAGATTGGTACTCTTATTGATATATTTTGGTAATATTTCTTATGTTGCAATTTCTTGTTTTCAGCACCAAAGTTCAACTAACACTATGAATCGACAAATGTTAAGGACCCCGCATATATCAGGCAGAACTCCTTTTTCTACCCTTCAACATGAAATTGTAAGTTGTAAACATCCAATTATGTTTTACAATATTTACATATCCTGTACATTTTATTTTTCATATCCTGTACATTTTATTTTTATATGTAGGTTCATATCCTGGGACGAACTCTGTTTTAAATATTTTACAATTATGTTTCTAGAAAAAGGTTCATATCATGTACATTTTATTTTATTTTTATTCTTTGCTAGGTTCAGAAGGATGTTAATAGAGTTGCTAATGGAGATGCTGATGGAGATGCTGGGGACATAATTGATGCTGGGGACATAATTGAGTTCTACAAACTCACACATTGCACTGATAAAAAACATGGTTGGTCAACTGATGAGGCAAAAGAAAATTGGGTAACTCACATTTTCATATTGCTATTGGTATTGTTATTTTTTTAGATAGGTATGATATATGTTTGTAATCCATTAGGAGTTGATCGAGGCGAGAAAAATATGCAGCGGAAGGAGCTGAGAAGACGAACCAAGAAATAGTTCACGAGGTGTTTGGTCCAAGATCTACTTATCTAAAGGGACTTGGTTATCAGACGAACCACTTAAATAAACGCATTTATGCTCCCGCCAACCAATATCTTCAAAAGGAAAAGGAGCTTCAGGAAACTCAAGAAAAGCTAATAGCATCAGAATCACGAGTGAGTGAGCTCATGGAACAAGTTAATGACATGAAGAACTTAATGGGCCAACAAGGTGCAGATATTGAAAAGCTTAAGGCATTCATGAATTCCAAAGGAAATAGTTGAGGTAAACAGTTTAATATAAACAATGGGGCTCATTTTTTATTTTGTGAAAATATGCTTTGATAAATGAAAATATATGTGCTAAGTTAAATGTTTTAAATTTACAGGTGAATGGATGCTAGTGGATTTACCAAGACATTTCCGACAATGTGTAATTCAGCGAGAGTAGAAAATAAGTCTATGGATTTGCAGATTTATCTCTTATATATTTATTTAGTGTCTTTTTACTTAATATTACAAGTACTATTGTTTTTGTTTTCAATCATGAATACTTCAAGTCATTCCTTCTATTGATACTCATTATCTTTAAATATGTTGTTATTTCATATCTAATTTATTGGCTAATTGCAATAGTATTATGATGAATTTTTGTGATAATTTTCAATTGGTAACTAAAAGCAATCTTTCGTGACACAACGTATGGTCAAATATAAATTCATGATTTGTGGCATAAAATGGCTTATTTATGACTAATAATTTGTCACACTAAAGTTCTTTAAAGTGACGGTACATTTGTCATAGATATTCTTTGATCATGACAAATTTATAGTCATTATACCTACATATTTAGTGACAATTGTCTTCTGCGTCATATACTTTTACTTTTTCATGATAGAATATATCGTCATATTTTTATACACATTTGGTGACGATAAACATCATGTCATATAATACGAATTATCTATGACTAAATATATCATCACCTTTAATATATTCATCTGGTGACAAGGAATGGTTCATCATTAAAACGTACTTTTATGTGACATGTTCGTTCGTCATTATAAATGTTTTTATTGGTGACAAAGAATATTTCATCATTAAAACGTACTTTTATGTGACATGTTCGTTCGTCATTATAAATATTTCATTGGTGACAAATAAATTTTTGTAACTATAATACAACTCTTTTATGACAAATTATATTATAGATGACAAGTCTTATATGGAAATTGAGACAAACTGACTGTCATTATATTTTAATAAAGATGACGAAAAAATTAATTTTGTCATTATATGTGATTTTTCAGATGAAGAAACCATATATGTTCGTCATATAAAGGCTAACTTTTAGTGACAATTAGATAATTTTGTGACAAACATTTTATGATAAATGTGACAAATCAATCGTCTCCAAATCTCACAAAGGTACAATGACAATACTAATTTTTATCACAAATACTAAACATTAGATGACAAATTGAAAAAATTGTCATATAGACCTAATATGACGCGGCTACAGTGACAAACTCTGTGACACTAAAAATTCGTCATAAAAATTATTCGGTGACGAAAATTCACATTTATATGACAATTTTTTTTGTCATATTTTTTCAGAATTCTTGTAGTGGTGGGATGAGTCTAAACTGAGAGCAACCTTTGCCCTTGATTTTTGCAGCTCTATCCTCAGTATTGATACCATTGATCCATCTCAGGAAGATGCTTAGGAATGGACTGTGAATAAGAAAGGTATGTTCTCTGTTCAATCTACTTATGCTCATTTGATTACTGAAAAGGTGTTGGAACAGGATAGAGCTCAAGGTAGTTTGAGTTTTAACATTGATGCAAGGCAGTTGAGGTCCTTGGGAAAGTGAAGCATTTTATTTGGAAACGTTGCAATGGTACTCTTCCTGTCACCTTAAATCTCAGACTCAGGGGTGTTGAAGTTGATCCTATTTTGCATGTTCTGTGGAGAACATGAGGATTCTATTGAACATATATTTTTCCAGTGCTCTTTTGCTCAAACTGTGTGGAAACTGGCTCCTCTTTGGTGGGAAGGGCCACAGGGTAATGAGAAATTCAAGGATTGGTGGTGGCATGTATGTCAATTGGATAGGAGTGAGATTTCTGAAGCCCAGATACAACTAACTACATATATCCTGTGGTGGCTTTGGAAGTATCGTAATCTTTGGGTTTTTGAACAGGTTTGGCGGCCGGCTCATGCTATTGTTAGGGTGGCAGTGCAGGAATGAGAGGCATATTTGAAGAACAGTAGGGGTTAAGTGTTCTGGTTTCTTTTTTCTTGCTTGTGTACGGTTAGGTGATATATTGTTAGGGGATAAAGGTTCGGTTAAGTGTAACTGTTTTATCCCTTAGTTGTTGGTTGTTAATTGTTTTTCTTAGTTTTCTTGTTCCTTTGTTCTAGCCCACGTGTGTGTGGTGCTCTCAGTTTCGGGCAGGATTATTTGTATTGTACTTGGTTTTTCTTTAGTTTCGTTATGAGCATTCGTTTGGANTAAAATTGTTTAAATATGGTGTACGCGCGTATGTGCTAGCACATAAACATAACAAGTAGAGCAGAAAATATAAGACTAAATAGCATGTTTAGTTAAGAAATAGAAAATGAATCATATATAGTCAATATATTTATAAAAACTTTAGTAGAGTTCATGAGAGTAATGAAAATTCAGATGTAAACCACCACTAATAGTTTAAATTAGCTAATAATATATTATGTATTGTGTATTAATTTAGGCACAAGTGGTTCATATATAATTTCGAAAGGCCACCCGAAGTGGAATCACAAATTGCGTTCATATAATAATATTTGTCATCAAGAAGAATAATTGTACTCTATGGTGGGCCAAAACGGCTATGAATTTCAAATAATATTTTTATTGGAACGACTGAGACTCTCTTTTTTTTTTTTTTTTTCGAAACGATAGTAGAATATCTCATAAATAATTATAGTTCATACACGGGATTATTCCTGACCACAATCCATAAGGATCAGAGGCAAGCTAGAAGCCACCTAGAAACAGAAATCAACATGACCAATACATAACAAGTAGCAGCCGCTAACAAATGCGGAAACCTGCGACTTGAATAACAGCAAACAGCAACCAAAGCTCACTACACCAAACACAGAAACACACTACAACTAAAAAACATAAGACAACAACAAACTACAGCAGCACACTACAACAACATCAAACAAACAAACCACCAACATGACAAATAAACTAGCCACTACCGACTAGCTAGGAAAACAGAAAACAGAAAAGAGACTGAAAAAAGAGAAAAACAGCATCAAGTTCTAATGAGGAAGGAGAGAAGAGCAGTACTCCAGCCATTCTTTAACAGCCATCTCCACAATGATCTTCTCCGGGGTTTGGACTTTCTGAAACACCCACAGGTTGCGAGTTTTCCATAGTTGCCACAGAATGTATGTAGATAGCTGCATCCTTTCATCCACTGCCTTGTCCTTTTTTAATAAACAGATGTCAATCCACCAGTGTTTGAAGAGACCATCACTGTATGATAGGTTGCCCCATTGCACATGAGATGGCTTCCAAACTGTGATTGCTCTTGGACATTGGAAGAGGAGGTGTTCAATTGTTTCAGGCAGTTCACCACAAAGCATGCAGGTCGTGTCTAATGCAAGGCCTCTTCTGTTGAGGTTGACAGCAACAGGAAGTACTCCACTGAAGCATTTCCAAAGGAAATGTTTGACTTTGCCTTTGATATTTAGCTTCCAGCTCCTGCTCCTCATTTTCCTCAAGCTACCAGCATTGGAGCTATTTCCAGGTATGTCAAGCTTCAGGATTTTGTCAGCAATAAGTTGTGAATAGGTAGCAGCCACTGAGAAATTTTTCTTTGCATCAAAGGACCAGGTTGGCTTATCAAGCAAGTGTCTGTTCAAATTTTTGATCTGCAAGATTGCATCACTTTCAGATTGAGTAAAGGAGCTGCAAATGAGTTCTCTATCCCAAGAAATACCATCTTCTGCAATGAGATCAGAAACCCAAACAAGGTTAGGGGAAGAGTGAGTTTTGGTTAACAGTTTGTGAGTTGAGAGGGTTGGAACCCAAGGGTGATCCCAGATTCTGGTTTGTCTACCACTGTGGACTTGCATCATAAAGCCCTGCAAGAAGGTTTTCTGGACTTTGAGCCAATTTCTCCATAACCAGGAAGCATTTTGATTGGGTTTTGCACTGAAAAAGTCACCAGAAGGGAAATATCTACTCTTGAGAACTTTGCTCATAAGAATGTTAGGTTTGGTGATCATTCTCCAAACTTGCTTCAAGATGAGTGCTTCATTGAAGACATGAAGATCATGAAAGTTTAGTCCTCCTGCAGCTTTTGGGAGAGAAAGAAAAGCCCAGGCTTTCCAGTGAATACCATTGTTGTTAGAACTCTGAGTTGACCACCAGAAATTGGCAAAAAGTTTGGAAAGTTCTTGACAGATACCCAAAGGCAGTAGGAAGCATGACATAGTGAAGACTGGGAGGGCACTCAGAATTGAGTTGATGAGGACTTCTTTGCCTGCCCCTGAGAGGAATTTGTTTTTCCAACTGAGCAGTCTTTTCTTGACAGCTTCAATCACATAACTGAATGCTTCTCCTTTGGATCTGTCTATCCCAAGTGGCAACCCCAGATATCTAGAAGAGTGGTGTAGAGAGATACCTTGAAGAGTATGGCAGATGGCAGTTTGAGTGGCAGTAGGTGTGTTTTTGCTAAAGAACACTGCAGATTTCAATAGATTAACTTGCTGCCCTGTGAAGCATTTATATTTCTCCAACATTGATAGAATGAGGTTAGTAGACTCAATAGTAGCATGGCAAAAAAGCAATGAATCATCAGCAAAGAAGAGGTGGCTAAGAGTGGGCCCTTGCCTTCAAATTTTAAGACCTTTGTAAGAGCCAGTATCAAGTTCATGCTGAATTAAGCAAGATAAGCTCTCAGAAACTAAGAGGAACAAGTAAGGGGATATAGGGTCCCCTTGCCTTATTCCTCTAGAAGGTGTTATATAACCAGCAGGAAGGCCATTAATTTTGAAAGAGAAAGTGGTGGACTGCACACATGCCATGACCCAGGTTACAAAGGTCCTGTCAAAACCCATTCTGTCCATAATACATTTGATACGGGCCCATTCAATGCGGTCAAAAGCTTTTGACATGTCTAGCTTAAGGGCCATGTATCTTTTAGCACCTGTTCTGTGTCTACTGAGGAAATGAAAGGCTTCATGTGCTATGATCACATTATCAAGGAGTTGTCTATCAGGGATGAAGGCTGATTGAGTGTTACTAATGCAAAAGGGGAGACATGGTTTGAGTCTTTCAGCAATAATTTTTGAAATAACTTTGTAAATCACCTCACACAAGCTTATAGGTCTGTAGTCTCCAACAGAGATAGAAGACTGGCATTTTGGTATGAGAGAGATTAAGGTGAGGTTCCAGTTTTTGAGCAAGTGGTTAGAGGTAAAGAAAGACAGGACAGCTTTGCATAAGTCACTTTTAATAATACTCCAAAAGGATTGGAAGAAGGAAGGAGGCATACCATCCCAGCCAGGAGCTGTGTCAGGTTTCATGCTGAAGAGAGCATTCTGGATTTCATCTTCAGTAACTGGGGCAGAGAGAGATTCATTTTGATCCTGAGAGATGGAGGATGGAATGTAGCTGAGAAGGTTTCCCATATCAACAGATCCTTCTGAAGTGAACAAGTTATTGTAGTAGTCTGAGATGCAGCCTGTGATTGATTCTCTGGTGTCACAAATGGAGTTATCAGCATCAATGAGTTTGACAATGGAGTTCAGCTTTCTCTTTTGAAGTACATATGCATGAAAGAACCGAGTGTTTTTGTCTCCTTCTTTGAGCCAACAAACCCTTGACTTTTGCTTCCAGAAGGATTCTTCTTCCTTGTATGCTTCATCAAGCTTGTGCTTAAGCTGTGCCCATTTGTCCCAATCTCTATCACCACCTTGCTCTCTCAGACTTGCCATTTCAGATGTAAGTTGGGCAATAGTCACTGCAGAGTTTGTTTGGAAAGTCCTGCTCCATTTAAGAAGAGCCACTCTTGTGGATTTGATTTTTTCAGATAGGGAAAACATGGCTGAGCCTGTGACTGGTTGGTCCCATGCCTTTTGGATTTCTTCTCTGATGCCTAGTTTTTTTATCCATCTTTTATCAAAGCAGAAAGTCTTTTTCTTGTGACTTTGAGGAGTAGCAGTTTGTAGGAACAAGAGACTGTGGTCTGAGGCACTCTTAAAGGTGTTGAGAACTTTTGCTGTGGGGTGTTGAGCATGCCAGTACAAGGATGCCACCATTCTGTCTAGTTTTTCTTCTATGAAGCCTTCTCCCATTCTGTTATTCCCCCAAGTGAAGGGGTGACCTTCCATGGAGATTTCTTGTCCACCCAAGTCTGCAATGCAAGCTCTAAAGCCCCAGAAACTATGTTCAGACCTCCACCTGCCTCCCTTCTTTTCTTCAGTGCAAAGAATATCATTCCAGTCACCAGCTACTACCCAATTAGGACCCCATTTGTTTTTAGACTGTAGTAGGAACTGCCATTGCTCTGATCTGGTTCTCTTACAAGGACTAAGATAGACAAAAATGAACCAAGCAGAATCTTGAAGGCTGTTAAGTTTATATTCTACTTCAATACAAAAAGGATGGCAGATGGTTTGAAGGACTTCTTTTTTTTTTTTTTTTCTCCCGANTTTTTTTTTTTCCCGAAACGATAGAGGTACTATATTAATAAAACCGCACAAAGTGCGAAGAAAAGCAGCCAAAGGCTGAATAGTACAACCAGAGACTAGAAAACTGGGAGGCAGATCCGGAGATCGCCTAGAGCCGACCCCAACGGGGTAATACTCGGACAACACACAAAACCAACTACACCAACAAAACTAAACAAGACCCCCAACGGAGTAATACCCGAGTGTCGGACCCCCACGGAGTAATAAGTTTGACACTCGGGCTCACAAGGGCCAACGGCCCAAACCAAAAACACAACATTGATACACAGGCAACGAGCCCACACCAAAAACACCAACCTACCACACAAATCAAACAAAGAAACAAAACAAGAAGGAAACTAAAAGGAAATTAAAGCCCTTCCACTTCGACAAATCCAAACCCGACTTGAAGTCACAAAACCAGCCATGGAAGTCCCTCAGCCCGAGAAATTCGACACCTCCACTGCCTAACTGCCTAGCTGAGCCTAATCTCAAGCATCAAAATACACCCACAGCCAATTCTCCCCATAGCCAGAAAACATCAAGAAAACTCCCAACCACCGCAATATCGGGCCGACTAACACCACTAGCGGACACAATATTAACGGCTAGCGCCCCTGAACCCAACACCAGAGAATCGAGGGAAGTGGAGTATTCCCAACGTCTCAACCCCGGCCACACCAGCCCGGACTCGCAAGTTGCCGGAGCTGCCAGAAAATCCGTCCACTGAAACAGCTCTATCCCAACCAAAAGAACTAGGAGAGACAATCCATAAGAACCGCACCCTGCTCTACCAAGACGACCAGCGGAGCCGAAGACTCTAGCCCGAAGTCAAACCCCAGCCCGAAGCCAGAAATTCCGGCCCGAAGTCGACACTCCAGCCCAAAGCCGCTGAACCGAATCCAACACGGAGGAGGATGTCGATTAGCCACGCCAAGCCGAACCAAGGAGGAGAAAAAGCGAACAGACCCACCTGAGCAAACCCTGCCACTCCAACCCTAGACCGCGATCCGCCGGAGTCAGACCAGACCCCAACCCA